AAAATGGCCGCTATTCGGCTATCGTTAATGAGATCATGAAACAAATGCACATACATATTTGTGACATGATGTACCTTGTGTGTGTGAAGTTTGAACTTGATCAATCCAGACATGTCTCGGATACGGATCCAGAACTGAATTCTTTAAAACAAAATGGCCGCCAGTCGGCCATTTCGAACCCGATCCAAAAAAAAAAATGACGTGCATCAAGGTCCTATTATGTTTAATGTATGTACCAAATTTGAACAAAATCCGTCCATGCATAACTGAGATCCGGGTCCGGAATGGTGAAAATGTGCGATTTTGATGCATTTTCGGCCTTAAAATGGCCGCTATTCGGCTATCGTTAATCGGATCATGAAAAAAATGCATGTGCATATGTCCCATATAAGGTGTGATGTATGAGTGAAGTTTGAACTTAATCGGTCCATGCATGTTCAAGATACAGGTGATCACGGACGCACGGACACACGGACGCACGGACGCACGGACGCACACAGGGCAAAACATAAGTCCCCGTTTTCGGACTGCGTCCGAACGGGGACTAATAATCACAATCTGTTCCATAATTACTGACACCATGACATCTCACCAAAGTTTTTTTTTTATTTCTCACATTTTCAGTCTTAAATTCATGTCTGGATAATTCACAATATCGGGAAATAATAACCATGTTGCCATAAATGTCGGGAAATAATGACTAAGTTGTACCCAAAGTCAAAAACACTGTTTATAACATATGACAATATCACCATTCTTCACTGATCAATGTACAATTATAACGAGTTGTACGGAATTACCTGACTGACATGTTTTTCCATCTGGATTCATAATCTTTCCAGTAGGACATGCACAACTGTATCCCCTTGGTAACGGTGCTAAGAGACAAAGATGGCTGCATCCGCCATTATTGATATGACACATTGAAGGCACTGTAAAATTTAAACATAGAAATTAATTTTTTGTCTTTACCTCAAACAGACTGGATTGCAGAAAATCATTTTGATCTGAAAAATTTCAGAAAGCAGCTGAACAATACAAGTATTAGTAACTACAAAATACCAAAACACAAATCTATCAGTATTTTACGAAGTCAATTTAAATGTCTCATTCTCGTTTTAAATAATTTTGCCTGTGAAAAATGTAGTGTAAATTTTGATATTTTTTTATAATTTTCCATTGCTACTATAAAAGCTCTTTATATAATATTTATGAATTTTTGAAATAATTACGTAGGTTTAGTTCATGAGAGGTGACAAATTTGATTTGAACATTCAAAAGTCACCCATGGAGAATTAAGTGGGTATCAAGATGTTCAATGCTAGGTGTGCTCTGATGCATGAAGGTTAGCTTCCCTGTATTCAACTGTCACGTTTCTACAATAATTATGTCATATTTAGGGGGAGGGACAAAAAATTTGATATTATATGGACATATAAAGTGTTGGGTTAGAGTTTTTTTCTTTTGGCTTCTCTGTAACATATTCATTGCAAGCCATTTATAACCACAGTGTGGTTTACACATTCTAGTATTATGGAATACATTTTGTTTGTAGCTTTAGTATGAAATACAAACTCTTGTGATTTGTGAACCCATTCCATGCACATCAATCACACATAGTTCTAGCAAATAGTATCACAGAATGCAGTGGGCATACATATTACACAATTTGTGAATAAGACGTTAAAAAAAAATGGTCTGAGAAAAACGTCCTTTATTTCATTCTCACAAATTTTAATTACGATTTTTAGGTTTCTCTTACAATTTTATGACAATATCGCATTCCAAGCATGAACACACTTGGATAGAATAATCTTATAAATTCTCAGTTTAGCAGATAATAAATCTTTAGATTCTATTCTTACCATCTATTCTATCTCGATGATACATGTGAATATCCATTAGATTCTCTAAATTAGATATGACTGTCTGTCGTCCCAATCCTGTCAACTTATTAGCACTCTGGATACTTTTAGATTGCCAATCTGTCCAGAACACTTTATCCTTGTACAGCGTCAAACCAAAAGGATGCGGCAGTTGAGTGCCAATGAGCATCTGTAATAAATATAGGATAATAGAGGTCAGCATGTACACTGAAAAGTTATTTCAGCCCATATATTCCAGACTATACAAGTGAAAAAGAAACTTAAGTCTTTGTCATTTAGCGAATAAGGACAGGACTTAGGCAGTGGTGGACTCTCCTAAAACTATACTCATACACACATGTATCCCACAATGCAATGTGGCATTGTAAAGCACAACCCCAGCCCATTGAACATGGATGACATATTTATGACAATGACTGAATCAGAGTCACACGGGAGCAAACTAAGATATCACAGTGGATCACTCACCATTCTATTTCTACCATCTAGATCAGAATATTCTATCGTTTTAAGTCCTGCATCAGCCCAGTATAGTTTTTCTCTTTCGTGATCAATAGCTAAACCATTTGGCCATGTCAGATTTTCATATATCACAGACAATCTATCCAAACCATCCATACCAATGCTTTCGATCTTAGGTGATACTCCCCAATCTGTCCAATAGATATACCTGTTTAGATAAGAAAGGTTTTATTACTAGCTATCATATATACAAATAATCTTGTATTTTCACTTGTTTACTCACAAAGTCTCAAAATACTAAATATACGTTTTCAATAATTGTTGTAATTTATATTCAACAGTAAACAACTTTTATGGAAACTTCAATAGTAAGTTGTACAAGGATTAATAAAACAAAAAAATACACACTTTGCCATGTTTATGTGAAATGCATTATTCATCCAAATACAAGGTAGCTTTATAAAATATTTCTGTATTGTTACATGTATGTAAAATTGTATTGAAAAGTTCCATCATTGCTCAGTTAAATTCAACTGTCTGCTTTAGATGTGTATTTTTGTGATGTATTTCCATGTGTCCTAAAACGGAATAAACTATTAATATGTTACTACTGCTACTGCAGCTAACTAGGATTTTGATAAAGGATTTAGAAGACTATACAACTTTGTTATTTGTGAATGTTTGGAAAAGAAGATCCCATACCCAATGAGGTACATGCAATACAAAAGAAGATCCCATACCCAGTGAGGTACATGCAATACAAAAGAAGATCCCATACCCAGTGAGGTACATGCAATACAAAAGAAGATCCCATACCCAGTGAGGTACATGCAATACAAAAGAAGATCCCATACCCAATGAGGTACATGCAATACAAAAGAAGATCCCATACCCAGTGAGGTACATGCAATACAAAAGAAGATCCCATACCCAATGAGGTACATGCAATACAAAAGAAGATCCCATACCCAGTGAGGTACATGCAATACGATAGAAGATCCCATACCCAGTGAGGTACATGCAATACAATATGTTCAATTGTGCCAACAAAAACAAGAGAAGATATCATAGTAGAAAAAACAAAAGTATTAAAAACATGCTTTACAAATACATCACTGTTTCATTCGCAGACTCATACCACTTATTTGCATTGTTTTGTTTTTTATAAATGTACTTTTTTTTTTCTAAGTTTATTGTCTTGCATCTTGTAAAATGAAATTTTCATCAGATTACCAGAGCCTCTAAATCACACTAAATGCACACCCTTGTTTTATACATCTCAACTTACCCTCTAATTGGATCCACGATGATATCTCTTGGTCTATCAAGATTTTCCCAGATCAACACTTTTCTCATTGAACCATCTAAGTTTGAAACCTCTATTCTATCTGTTCCAGCATCAGTCCAGTAGATCTTCTTTGTAATCCAATCTATAGCAATGCCAGCTGGACTCTCCATACTGGTGGCAACAACAACCTGGTGAAATTAAAAGTTAAGTATATGCATCTTGTGGTCATTTGTGGGAATTATATAAATTTTAAGGAATTATCATGTTTTTATAGTTTTAAAAGTGTTACATAATTAATAATATAGACTACGATTCATTTTTTAAAAAAAAAATATGAAGTATTTTATTTTGAGAAAAAATACAAATGCAAAAAGGGCATTTGGAACTACTTTCATAATAAATAAATAAATAAATAAATAAATAAATAAATAAATAAATAAATAAATAAATAAATAAATAATATTTATATTTTGAACGAAATGTAACGACGAATCATTTTTACCATAAGGGACTATTAGTAAATTACATGAAATTTTTAATATGAAAATTAGTTCAATAACCATCCTTTTCTATCAAGATTTTGTGAGCAAAAATTCAAGAAAATCTGTATTGTCTTCCATTTCTCTTTTAAAAAGACAATTAAACTAAAAGATGGCATAAACACATTGACAGTGTATATCAGCATATACTTACCTCCTGTTCACTGCCATCCCATTTGGCTCTATTAATTGTGTTTAATGTGACATCCGTCCAATAGATATGTTCACCAGTCCTCTCCCAGTCCAATGCTACAGCGCTATGTAAATCACGTAACGGTATAACTACGTCAGACGACTCTTCCGTATCAAGTGATATTCGTCGGACATCAGTCCTCCTTGCAAACACCAGAAAAAGTTCTAGTTCTGGAAAAAGACAAATATTGAGGAAATGTGTAAATATAAATTTAAATTATTATGATTATTTGAAACTTATATATAGCGCCATAATTGCAGAATATCTTCAGTTTCTTCTTATATACAGACAATCAATTTATTTCATGTCAAATTGTATAGGATGGGTTTGAAGTATTAGTAATGAGACAGAGGCAGATGTGTTCTGACCACACTGGAGCAGTTCTTTTTAAAAAAAAATAAGATTGCAAATTTAATCATGCAGGTCTGTCCTGATCTGTATTTAAATGTAAAACATGTTGCCAGCGTAAAAAACATAATGGTTACAATAATTCTTGACGAAATTGAATAAAACAAAAAAAATTCTTACTTTCTGAACATGTCTTGTTATTTTCTAACATCTTAAATCCTGTAGGACATGCACAGGAATAGGATATCATGTTGGGCAGACAGAGGTGACTACAGCCGCCATTATCATTACCACAACGATTTATAGCTGAGAAAAGAAAAACACTAAATATTTAGAATATTCAAGAAACAAGATGCACCTCGACGAGAGAAAACTTAATGAATATTCATGAGTTAATGAATATTCATGAGTCAATGAATAATTGTTGCAGTTTGGATTTGGCATATAAAACTTTATATCATAGTCATTGAAAATGACACAATCCCTGTTAAATTAAGTTCTCTTTGTGCTCGTCATATTAAAGCGGAGGGGTTGTCGTGAGCGTGTCCTTGAAACTTGAGTTCCAAGTGACGTATACAACAGATTGTTTATTTACATCAAAACACGTGTTTCGTGAAGTAGTAATATGGCCAAAAATAAAAACAGCCGTTATTTGGCCATCTTTGATCTGATTATGAAACACACTGATATGTATGATGTATTTGCCAAATACGAATGCAAATGGTACATAAATTGTGGAAATATAGTAGTAAGGCAAAAAGTCAGATGGCTGTCAATCGGCCATCCTTGACCAGATTTTGAAACAAATTGTCATGGACATGCATCCGAACATGTATGAAGTACATGTATGTGCCAAATTTGAATGAAAACTGACAGAGCACGTCCAAGATACCGCATAAAAAAAACACACGATGCCTGCCAGTCGACTATCTTTGATCCAATTGCAAAATAAATCGTCATGGACATGTATCCTAACATGTATAATCTATGTACCAAGTTTGAATGAAAACTGACAAAGCATGTCCAAAATACAACATTTTCAAAAAAAAAGATGGCTGCCAGTCAGCCATTTTAAATCGAATCGCTAAACCACTGCATGTGCATATGTCCTATATAAGGTACTAGGCACATGTAAAGAATGAACAGAATCGGTCCACATGATTCTGAAATACGACTCTGGACAGACTGACGCACGGACGGATAGACTCAGGAACTCACCGACGGTCAGGGACATATATCCTAACATGTATGATCACATGACAAGCCAGCTGCCAAATATGGTCGTTAACTGCCATACTGCATCCTGGGATTTAATTGACCCCCGAGCTACATAGAGATTTAGGAACTTACTGGTACCTGCAGGCTGCCTCTGTGGATGGAAATTGTGAATTAATGACCCCCTAGCTGCATAGAGATTTAGGGACTTACCTGCAGGTTGCCTCTGTGGATGGAATGTGTGAATGTCCATTGGAAAATGAAGTCTTGAGTGAATCGTCTCAACATCATTACCAGTGAATTTATTTGCACTGTTAATACTCTTAGTATGCCAGTCAGTCCAATAAATGTAATCTTCAAATAGTGTGATAGCAAATGGGTGTGGCAGACCTGGTAATAAAAGAAGCCAATATTTAGATCAGGATTATGTTCATTATATTTGTCTTTGAGGTGGATGGTGAACTAAAGCTCAAAATCTATTACTGAGTGGATGATTACATCAAAGACACAAATTCAAGAATTGAGTAGACACTGACTGAGTAGGGAGGCACCACTGACACTGACACTGACTGGAGCTAGGGAATTCAATACTGCCTCTGAAGTGTGGAGCACCTGGTTCAAAGAAAAGGTGCACCACATGAAGGTGAAATAATACAAGAGGTGGAACACCTCAGAAAAAACACATAGGACACCATGTGGTAGTCATAAGATTATGTATTCATAGTTACTGCACTTGCACATACCTTGACTGATGACAGCTCGTCTGTTTCTACCATCCAGAGTCGAACTTTCAATGACATGGTGTTTAGCATCCACCCAGTACAGTCTATACCCAGCATAATCAATTGTTAATCCATTGGGCCAGTATAAATTTGTATCTGCAATTACACTACGACTTGTTCCATCCATTGCTGCACATTCTATTTTGGGTGTGTTCCCCCAATCTGTCCAATACATCGTACTTGAAATAAACAAAATGATAATTAGTATATTAACAGACAAGTAAAAGAATAAATCAATTACACACAAAGAATCTGCAGAATTTTCTTCAACAAAATGGTTTCCGATGCACTTGGCAATGTGTACCATTATGCTAGATATTAGTGATGGGTGACAAGCTTGTCTATTCCACTCATGATAAAATATTCCAGTCGTCCTCTGTTATAATCTGCTGCACATTACAACAAGAATACTGTGATTTTTGTACATGCACGTGAGGACAGGAAAATCACACAGACTGCATTACCTGCACAGATATACCACACATTCATATTATTTTCCGATGTGATTTACCTTTCCTTTCAATTGTGGGATCGTATACTATACTGTATTGAATGCGTTTTGATAATACTAAACCCTCAGAGTTATTTTTATTAACTTTCCGATAGGCATTCATCATAGACAATAATTGAACTCACCCTTCACCTGGATGCAGTGCAATGGCTCTGGGTTTTTCTAAATTCTGCCAAATAATCACTTTTCTGTAACCTCCTTCTAATGTTGCTACTTCTATTCTAGAAGTTCCAGAGTCTGTCCAGTACAGCTTATCATTGACCCAATCTATGGCAATGCCACCTGCACACAAATGACAAAAGTGACCGATGAGTAAATAAAAATCTCTGAAATCGAAGTCATCATTTTAAAGTTTGAAATTGTCCCATTCGCACGGTTTCATTGAAGCTGACCATCTATGCATGGGCATGCCAAGGAGCTAGATCCATACTGTAACAACAAAAACTCAATCTATTTCTAATTTAAACCAATTGATATTTTTGTCTTGTACCACATTATAGCTTAAATGATAAAAACATCCCACTTCACATTTGATTTCCTATGGAAATACATCAGAGCATGTGTACCAGTGTGTTTGATTTTATTGACAGTGAATATAGGTTTATAGTGCCTATTATATTTTGCCAAGGTATAATAGCTGGTAGAGATGACTGTTTAATAATAAAAAAATTAAAATCATCTCAACTAATTTTGGAAAATATATGAAAATTTTATGCAATCATATAAATTTGCTAGGAAATGCAATTTTTCCCAATTTCTGCAAACATTTTTTCCAGTCAATCTCTCCATCAAATGATAATTCAATAGAAGTGACAACAGTTAATAAAATAATCTTTCATAATAAAACTTGGCAGCCTTAGTACCATTTGGTTTTAGAATGATGAAGTTTCCAACAAGATGATGATATTGTTAGCTACTCACCTGGACTTTCAAGTCCTGTACCTATCACATCCAAAGAAGCACTACCATTAAGATATGCTCGCTTAATAACGTCCAATGAGACATCTGACCAAAATACTAATTGTTTTTGAGAATGAAAGTCTAAAGCTATGGCATTTTCTAATCCACCAAGTATAGAGGTATAGTCTGATTTATCTGGCATCACACGCCGTATATCAATCCTGTTCGCAAATAATAGGTAAGGTTCTGGACCTAAAAAAGGATGAAACCAGAAACGATATAATAAAACAGCAGATTGTATTTAATATGTTTATAATCAGATTAATATCAGTTGTAGATAATATACAATATTATAAGGTTATTACAAGGATACCGTAAAGTATGCACGAAGACTGTACAGCGATAGTATCTGCTGACGAGGAGGTCAATGCAATTGCATACTGTCTGAGTGCATAATTGAGGTATTCTTGTAATAACCTTATTATTATACATCTTTTCCTCCCAATATTACATGGGAAAAAGTTTAGAGCAGAATCAGCAAACTTCTTTGTGTGGAGTCCGGTCAAACGGTCAAACCCTAGTGGCAGCCATGTTTGTTTTTATTATTAGAGGATGCTTATGTGCGTAATTATTCCATATTTGGTTTTTGGATTTCCTAATATGGTAGGATGAAAATATCCCGTAAAATACTGCAAAATTACTGCACGCTGTAACTTTAAGGTAAGGGTGACAGATATATAATAATAATATATATATAATATTGCATGTCATTTTAGATGTCACTTAAGAAGCAGTCAAATTCACAAAATAGCCCAATTTTTTGAGTGAAAATTGAAAAATGACTAAAATTTTGTCTGTAGGCTCCAAAATTAGGGTTCATTTCCAGAAATATTGAAGAATATAAAAAAAAATAGATGGACAAATTTGGGCGAGAAAGTCTGTTGGGAAAATCGTTAATTTGTTTCTTTAAAGTGCCAACTATATTTATATACAAACCTAATGCCTTGCATCCCTTCTTATCTGGCTTGAGTTCATAACCTTTAACACATGAGCATTTGAATGAACCAATAGTATTCACACAAACCTGACTGCATATGCCATCAATATTGCACTCGTTTACGTCTGAGAATAATAATAACAAAAAAATAATACAATATTACGGCAAGTGTAACGTCAACTATATGTAATTTAAAATATTATATAGATGATATGTAACAGCAAGATATAAAGTGTGTTCAGTTTACAAAAGTTTTTGGTGTCTAATAAACATACATAATATGGTGTGAAATGTACATTGTAAGTGATACTTCTACTGTCTTCCTTTTGGATGGTTATTTTTTGTTTTATTATTAAAAACTAAGTGAAAATTAGGGTTCCTCAAAATTCTGCTATACATACAAAACCTGTTTTGTTTTTCAAACACACAATTAAATTTGATAGAAGTTCCTGACTGGCAACTTACGAGCCAAACAATTAAAGTTTGACTTAGCTCTGTATCTGAATGAATTAATACACAATTAGTACACTCCTATACCTCACATATTACCATCTCATGAATACATAATAGCAATAGCTCTTCTGCAGATTACACCAATTTCAGTAGATGTACATGTAACATTACTATTTCTCTGTTAAATTTTCACCTTGGTATACTTACCTTGACAGTCTTTAAGGTTGGATGATAAAACATAGCCTTCATGACACGAGCACTGGACACCAGGAAATAAATCAATACACTTATGCATACACCCACCATTTTGTGATGCACAAAATTCCACAGCGGGTCTGTCATCATAAACTATCAAGTGAAACCAAATTATATTTTAGTTAACTCTAGTAGCGTATGTTTACCATAATGATTATTAGCATATTAAATTATTTAATAGTTTATCCACGATATGAAGAATTGACATTTTCTATAAATACTGTGAAATACTTTATTTTAGCTGGAATTAATTTTCACTGCAAAGATTTTTAGGGTATTTTGAATGGAATTTATTTTCACTGATTTCTGACAAGTTGAATGTAAAATATGGGAAAAAGGGTATATTGGCTGGATTTTCACTGAAAATTAATTTTAAGCGAAGATAAAGTATTTTACAGTATCACACGATGTATTGAATGCAACAACTTTAGTTGCTATGGTGATAGATTTTGCGACTTACTACATCGTCTTTCATCACTCCCATCACCACAATCATCTCGTCTATTGCACATTTTTTGTTTTCCGATGCATTTTTGATTATCACACTGATACTGATCATCAGAACATGCCATTAAACCTAGAGAAAATAAACATAGTAAAACCATTAAAACTTTGCCCATCCCAGAATAAATCAAAACATGCTATTAAAACCGAGAGAGAAAAAAACATAGTAAAATCATTAAGCTTTGCCAATTCCTAAATAAATATAAGCATATCATGGCATGGACACATTTCCCGTTCAATAACAAACAATACCGAAATGTGTCAGCTATTTTTAACCAGCAAATGCATGTCAAAAACATGGCTCTGGAACAGTATTCATTAATACAAAAATGTTGGCCATTTTGAATGAGAGGGCGAGAACAAAATGATGTGTGATGTACTGTACATATAACTTAATTCAGTGGAAACATTTTCACATTTTGTAAAATCCTTTTGAACCACACAGACAGTTACAGACATTGCTTTTAATTTTGTTTCCAAAGTGTTTGTTTATTTTTATCAATACTTTATGTGGAGAGGAG